AGCTTCAGGTCACCGTTCCTGAGTCCAGACGGACTTAAACCAGACTAGCACACCGATGTGTGAAAAAAGAACACGTGTGAAAGAGTTTAGGCGACAATCAGATGTTTTCTAGTGTAAATACTTGTTATGGGCATGAAAACACAGCCCCGCAGTTGCCATATTGCGGTCTGCGCGGCAGTGAAATCGACCGCACCACACTGCTAAAGGGCCAGCCTAAAATACCCTGTTCTCCCTTTGACCTCCCTTAAAGAGCACTGCCCCATGGACATGGGGTCGTAGCCCTGATCCGTGGCCACGGGCAACTGGGATGGATCTCTACCACCAACAGAGCTATTTAGACCAGATGGAAATCGAGCTGACGCTGCAATCAGTTACATTTTCATTCCAGTTTTGTCTGTGTAGATGTCCCCATAACCACATGAGGGGGAAGGACCAAAGATGTGTCTTTCTCTGCAGCAAGGAGGCCTACCTGCATGTGGTCTCACACACCCTCACCTGTACTAGCCTTGTGCCCCCACCCCGCCCACCCGGTTCATCAGCCTGACGGCCCATGTCTGCTTGGGAGCGGATCAGACTGGAAGTCATCATCACATCGTCCGGTGGGAGACGAGTCCCGGACTGTCCACACACGAACTCCCCGTAGCACGAAAGGCAACGAGGCGGGCGCTACGCCTTCCACCTGTGCTTGGAAACATCCCACCGCACGGTCACCCATGTCGAGTGCGGCAGCCCTCGCTGGGTGGCACCTGGCGCTGCTGTCTGGCCCCCCGCCCGAGGAGCGTCTCCCTCCCCATCCTCCCTGACTTGTCCTTTGCATCCGGCTCCGAACAACAAACATGACCTGCAGCCAAAACCCCATGGGCACGAACATTCGCACAGGAGGCCCCGGAAAATTTAGGGGCAACGTTAGTGAACAATGAATTTGTAAGAGGTCAGAAAATCTTTTCAGATCAAAGGTAAACTAGGAGACGGAGGAAGAGATGGGGGCTGGGGGGAGGGGGAGAGGCCGGGAAAAGCCTGTAAAAATGTGTTTCTAAAATAATTTTGGTGAAGCAGCCTCACTGCCCCCATCCTGCCTTTTTTGTCTCCCAATTGTGTTGCCTCGTGTTTCCTGCCCTGTCTGTCCTCTCTCTCTGTCCCTGAGTTTTTCTCCTCTTCCTTCTCCTGTGTCATAATCTGCAGTTTTGCCCCAAAACATCCATTGCTTTTTCAGTCCCTGCCAAGAAACCAGGCACAGATGATGCAAAACCAGGCCCGAGACAGCTTCTGCTCTCGGGTAGCTTCTCGCGATGGTCACCGCTCTGACCAGTAAGTAAAACTACTGGCAGCACCTCCAACAGCCGATGGAAATGGTACGCGAAAGATGCCAGGAAAAGGGGATACAAGGTGTACAAGTTCGGTGGTGATATTTTGTGGCAAAAGAGACAAACGGAACCCGAGAGAGAAAACAGGATTTGATTAGAGCCTCAGCAACCTTGGGCGAATGGGCCTGTGCGGAAACAGGCTGTTGGTTATGCTGCTTTCTTCGGTCCTAAGAGAAAGCAAAAGAGATCCCCACCCAACACCACTGGCCCCGCGCCTCGTGTGTCCGCGAGCTCAGCTGCTCTGTGGCCAGGAGCTCAGGACGCACCCCAAGGGCAGTGCGAGGATCTCAGATGCCGTCCCCCCTTCCACTTTCTAGTTTTGAGCCGTTGAGTGTGGGAAGACATGAACGAGACTCCAGACGGATTCAGAGCCTGTGGGGACACTCCAGGTGACAACTGAGGAGGGCATGAATTGAGGGGCCAGCAGCAGAGGTGAAGGGAGAGGTCTCGGCGAGTATCGAAAACTAAAATCACAGACTCTGGGGAGCATTGACATGTATTTCAGATTTTTTTTTTTTGCAAACACAAACTGAGATTAAACTTAGAAAAGCAGCCAGGTTCTATATCTCAGAGATGAGTCTGCAGACAGAGAGTCAAGACCTTCAAATGAGAATCGAGAAGAGGCTCTGAGTGTAGAAAACACAAAGGAAAACGGCCAAGAACGGAACCCCCAGAACTCTAGTTTTTCAAAGTAGACAATATGGAGAGCCAGTCGACAGATGATAGACTGATATAGAACATACACAAAACCACATATAAAATATCCGTACATTTATTTCTATATTAACATATAGAGCTAGTATATATGAGTCATGCATTGGGCCCCACCCATGCTGACCCCCCTGACCCTGACCTTATTTCACATTAGTGAAATAAGTGGAACAATAGAGAAAAAGGAAGAAAGACCCCAGCACACCCGATCTTTCCTCTAACAAAATGCACCTTAAATTCTAGTAATGATGAGGCTCACAGGCAGGTTCTTCTTATGAAAACACTTTGGAAAAACTCAATAAACAATCACCCAGCCCCAAATCTCTAAACTGTACAGCCTTTAGAACTGGACAGGATTGCTTATCAAATTGAATTTATCATTTGTAAGGACCCCCTGAAAGGCGCAAGGCACAGTCTGTGTTTGCAGCAGGAGGTATTTCCTTTCAGTGTCGATGGAAAAATGAAGCATGGGGTCCAGGAAATGAATCTTGGCTGTTATGACTCAGAGCTGCGTTCTCAAAACCCTCGCTGCCCGCCTCACAGTTACTTAGAACTTCTGCACAGAGTTTTGGTTTCCAGTTTTCACGGCACAGAGGCACGGAGCAGAGAGACAGCAAACTTGTGTGTGAAACTCAAGCCACCACGGTTGTGTCTCTGACATGATTTTACGCTGCTGTATTTAGAGATGAGAGAATGTCTGTATTGTGCCCGCATTTCTTCACTGATGTCTCTCTACATGTGCTCCTGTCTCTTTAAGACTTCAGAGTATGCAATATAAGTTTGAGGCCCCAAAGTCTAATGTTTCCTACAAACACGGAACTCAGGTTTAAACATCAAAAATAAAACATAATCCAAAGTATTTGTTGCTCATAAAGAAAAAGTACACGATTTAAAGCATTAATAATAGCTTCTCAAATGATACATCAAATCACAAAATGCCTCTCAGATCTTAAAAGCATGATAAGCAAGATTTGCAGATACAGACGCTTGTATCTATGCAGATATTTTCAAAACTATATTTCAGGAAGACTATGATCAACATCTTTTAGAAAAATGTTTGCTCGCAGTACTTATGTGAGCAGTTGAAGTTAAATTTGATCTTTCAAAACAAATCTATGTATTTTCTACTCATTTATTTCTAGTGTAAGTTATTCAGCAGAATTAAAATAAAAGTTTTTAGATCATTTTATACTTTTATTTCGATTACAAATTCAAAGATGTTTCTTATGGTAAAAATCCCTAATAGACTGAGTTGTAATTTGTATGGTGATTTGCTGTGTGGCCAACAAAATATTTCTGCATTCACTGCTGCCCTTTTGGGGATGCTTTGCACCTATTCTCAAATGCCAATTTTTCATGGAAATTTGCTCTGATTTATGATAATACACATATTGTCACTAAACGTACTATTCTTTTTAAAAATTAACTGAATTTATTGCAGTGACACTGGTTAATAAAGTTATCCAGGTTTCAGGTGGACAAGTCTATAACACATCATCTCCATATTGTTCTGCGTGTTCACCAGCTCAAGTTCAGTCTCCTTCCAAAACCACTTACCCCCTTTTCCCCGCTTCTACCTGCCTCCCGCTTTCCCCGGCAGCCACCATAGTATCATCTGTATCTGTGAGATACAGATTATGCCTTTGATTATGATAAGCAACTTTATAAGAATGGCAACTAATAAACATTTTTTCTGTACTAAGAGGAAATGCTGTTCCTATATAAAATCCCTTCAACCTATTTTTGCAGCTTAAACACACACACACTCTCTCACGTGGCTTTTCTGTGTCCTGGATCACACAGAATATAAACCGGCAACATGACACACTCAGGAATTAGCCACTGCCCTGCCTCTTGGAGGAAAGGAGAGTGGCAGAGAGACAAAAAATATATATATTTCAGAGTGGCACCAACCAGCAAAATTTTAAAAAATAATTATCTTCTTTTTTTTTACTCGATATTTCTACAAAAATACCACTTCACTGCCATTTCAATAATTAAGAAAACCAGCTTTAGATACTATATCATAAGGAGTAATATTAAATAGCAATTTGCTGGCTATGTTTAATACCAAACAAAATGTACCCTGCACTGAAACCGCTGAAACAAGGCTCATTAACTGGACTGGTAGGGTAGCGAGACCTCACACACAAGCTGGGGCATCGGGACCAGTCAGCCACGTTCTCTGCAGAGCAGAGCTCGGGCCTGGTGGCCAAGATGCCGCATTTTTACCTCACTGGGGCCCTGACACCGGCCCATCACCCAGGAAGGGCGGTGGCCCTCCGGGTGGTTTTCAAAGCACAGAGGCATGAAAGCTATGAGGACGAAGCCAGAAACTGGATTTAAAATACATTCTGTGACATTCTGAGATGCAACAAGTCGTACCTTATTAAGTAGCCAAGTGTATTACTCTAAACTACCATGTAACGAAATAGTCAACACAACGTATTACTCTGAATCAGAATTTGAGGAAGCAACCCCCTCCTCCCTGGCCCCCGGAAGAAAGGGTAGCTGCATGCAGCCAGAGGCCTATGGTAACTTTTAAAAAATTCATGTTCGGTCCAGAGGATAAAAATTCACTTTTGTTGTCATTAAAGCATCTTTAGCCTTAACATGGGCTTACGTCCGGGTACGTGGAAGGGTTAAGTAACAACTGCTTTGGTAATACCCTTGGAGAGTTTGTAAACAAAGATACAAACAGACAAGGTTTCCTTTTAAATGGCGATTTTTCTCCCTGCGCATTTCTGGCCTTTTTCAGCGGAAACCCTGTGCTGTGTCTCAGAGTAAACCGGTCTGAGCTGCCACAGCGCTGACCCGCCCTCCCCCCTCTGGTCCCCGACCCGAAACTTCTGTGCGTCTTTCAGACAGACCACTATCTCTCCACCAGGAAAAGCCAGGTAAGGGCGCGGCCACCCCGGCACTTACCCTCGCTGAGCCCTCCCAGGTCCAGCAACACGCAGACGAACGCCAGAAGCTTGAGCCGCAGGTGCATGGTCAGGTCTGGAAATCGGCTGTGACCCCCTGAACCAGCATGCGCCCTCTGAAAAGGCAGAACAGTGGTTACCCCCGCAGACGTTGCTCTCTCTGAAACCGAATGAAAGAAATAAGACCAGAACTGACACTCCTCGCTGATGTGCGCTCACGCCGTGAGCGATTTCCTCCTCTGCTACCCGGAGAAGAAGCCGCTTGCTGGCTCACTGGTGATGTCAGATTCGGTTTTACTGACTTCTCCAAAAACACCGGGCGACCTCCTCTGTGCAGGAAGTCAAGAAAGTTGTTCAAAGTCAGTGCAGATGCATCTTAACTTCCTTAATTCAAGCAATCAGACTAAGCTAGTGGGCCTATTTTTATTGAAAGTCTGTAGTCAAGTAATTAGACTAACTTAGCAGGCCTGTATTGATTGAAAGACTCTTTTTTCCCTTTTAGGAAGATGTTTTTAAGAATCCCAATATTCACATGTGAGAATCCTTACAAGAGGTATGTTTAAAATGCCATATCCTGCCCCAAATAACCAATAATTTTCTCACCTAAGAGATGGTTACACAGATTCAGCATGGGCAGGTGACAGCACAATGATTCACTAATTGAATTGGTGGAAGATATCCAGGTAAACAGCTACTTCTCTGGTTAGTTTAGGAAACCATTAACCACGTTTACGACAAGGGCATTCAAACCCCAGCCGTGTGGCAGGTTGGACAGTCAGACCATATCCTATGCAAAAGCCCTCGGGGAGCTTCATGGGCTGGCCCCAAATCTCTCACCGGTACCCCCCTGGGGCCGGGACTGAAATCAGAACCCCCTTCTGCTGCGCAAACACCACTTCAGCGCAGTCCTGCTTCCGGACACTGTTGATGGGGGGCAGGATCACAACCAAAGTCAAGACCCATCTTTCACAAAAGCCCATGTTTCTCTTTTCACCCTCAGCAACACTTCCCAGCCTTTTCCCCTCCAAGACACATGTCAACGCAGCGCTCTTCCCACGTCAGACGAGGTGCTCAGCAGTGCGTGCAGGACGCGGCATCACTGTGGTCACCAAACTGTCACGCTTGAGGGACACTGGGGGGGACTGAGGCTGGCAGGAAGCCTACCCCCGGGGTTCCGAAGCATGGCTGTGAGGTTCTTGGATTTAAGTAAATAGGTCTTTTCACATTTACCAATGCATTTGTTCTACTCCGCCTTTGGCAGCTGGGATCCACGCACCGGCTTGTGCCAACAGAAATAACTCCACATCTTCGATTCTGGAAAATGACATTGTAGTAAGATTTTTGTGATGATCTCGACTTGATTATGATGACCAGCACTCACGTAAGGGGCGTGCTCACACCCAGGCCCCTGCCTAGCCCTGTAATCACACAATCTGCACAGCGGTGTTTGGGGTGCATGATGGCGTCACCCCCCCTTTTCTTCAGGAAGCCCCGAGAGTCCAGGTGCTGTGTCCAAGGTCCCACAGTTGGGTGGAGGCAGGTCATGCTTTGAACAATATGTGAGTTTCATCTTACTTTCCTTCCTTATCTTACTGGTATCCATCATTTTTCTCCTTTCTTTCCCCAGTTTTTTTTCCCACTAGCTTTTTTATAATTTCCAATCTCTAAAAGATAGAACATTTGCTCCATAAAAATTACATTGTTCTCTTTTTGCAAATCTAGTTTCAAATAAAATAGCTGTAAATGTGAGCCCTACTTTTCATGAGGGAGGCCTATTAAAAAATGTGTCAAGTGTCACAAAATGAAGTGTAGTTTATCCTTAAACAACACAAAGGTTAGGGGCACCGATCCCCCACAGTCAAAATTTTAAGTATAACTTTTGACCCACCGAAAACTTACATACAGTCACCCCCCAGTACCCACGGGGGGTTAGCACTGGGACCCCCGTGGACACCCAAATCTGTGGGTGCTCAAGTCTCCTCTATACAATAACATAGAACAATGCGTGCAGTCACCGCTCTCCCATCCACAGCTTCCCAACACCAGGCAGAAAATCCAGTTTTCCATCCACGGTTGGTTGAGTCCATACATTTGAAACCCAAGGATACAGAGGACCGACTGTCTATTTATTGAAAAAAGAATCTGGTTATTAGTGGACAGTGGGCTCTTACAGTTGAAACCCACGTTGTCCGAGGGTCCGCTCTGGCTTGACCACCTGCAGTTTCTCAAACTGCATGCGAAGCGGAAAACCACTGGATGTTTTTAAGCAAATCCTTGTGTTCTGTGAGCCTGCCACTCCGGCAGCGTATCTGACCGGGGGGAAGTGCGTGACCTCCAGTCTTTTAAAAGGAGGTTCAGTCTATAAAACACATGCTATAACAAGTTCTAGCCTTAAAGGGACACTTAAAAAAAAACTAGACACTTTGAAGAAGTGGTAAGAAGGTAGGAGATTCAGTTCCATGTGGATGGGTGGGCAGAGGGATTCTACCCAACAAATAGAGACTAACTCGCAACAAATGAGTTGGGTTATATGAGTTTTGTTTTAATGTGTTAACGTTGAGATCAATGTCTACAGGGAACATGGGACTTCGGTAGCAGAATCTGTGTTGCGTGGCCGTAGTGGCAAAAACAATGAGAGCCCGACAGAGACAGAATCATCGGGTGTGCGCGCAGTCCAATGGCTCTCGAGTAGAGGCAGGAATAAGCCAGATGTGCGTGTCCCTAAGGTGCTTCTGTCGGGGGGGAGGGCTGAAGGGAGGTCCTGGCAGCTTGCTGGGGCACAGAGCACGGGTCCCCTCTGAGCTGGATACCTCGGCAGGAGCAGCTGGCCTTCCACGGGGCATCTGAGGAAACCTCCGTGTTATCAGGTCTGGGCCGAGCATCAGGCCCCGAGCACACAGCAGACAAAAACTCTTATAGAGACGGAAGGATCTGTTCATCAGTAAATCAACAAACAGCAAGTGGGGGCGTGAAGAAAAGGGAACCCCGGTGCCCTGTTGGTGGGAATGCAAATCGCCACAACCCCTGCGGGAAACAGCGCAGAGCTTCCTCAAAAAACCAAATATAGAACTGCCTCATGGCCCAGTGAGTCTACTTCCGAATACGTGTCCAAGGAAACCCAAACACGGATTGGAAAGGACATAGGCACCCCTGTGCTCAGTGCAGCAGTATTTACAATGGGCCGGATCTGGAAGGAACTCAAGTGCCCATCAATGGACGAATGGATCGAGAACCTGTGGTGGTATATTTACAAAATGGAACACTACTCAGCCATAAAAAAGAGTGAAATCTCACCAACTGCGACAGTGTGGACGGGCCTAGAGGGTATTGTGTTCAGTGAAGTAAGTCAGACAGAGACAAATGCCATATGATTTCACTTACAGGTGGAATCAAAAGGACAAAAAAAGAAAACACCCTCATAAAGTAGAGTGTCATGGACACGGAGAGCAGATTGACAGCTGGAGTCGGGGGGGTGGGTGGGTTGGTTTGGGGGCTGGGTGACAAGGTGAAGGGATTAAGAAGCACAGATTGGCAGTGACTAAACAGCCAAGGATGTAAAGTACAGCAGAGGGAATACACTTAACAGTATTGCAATAACTGCACGGAGCCAGGCGGACACTGGAAATACCAGGGGGACCCTTCTGTAAAGTATGGCTGTCTGGCCACGAGGCCGTCCACCTGAAACTAATACAGAACAACGCTGAAAGTCAAGTCGAGTTGACGTTGTTTTTTAGTAAAAATAAAATACAGTAAAAAAAGAACTGAGGCCGGGAAGAGGCCAGGAAGTGATGTCAGAGCTTCTGTGGCGTAAGTCGAGTTGTCAAAATGGTGTGTATCTAAAACCATCTCAAGTTGGATCAACAAAATTTCAAAATCATCATAGCTCGTTCACAGGTTTTTAACAGCTGTGGTATTTCCTGTTTAATTATGTTTTACCACCTCATCCTTTTCAGGGTCTTCAGTCCCATACAGTAGAAGTTATGTAAGGCAGGAATGGGTTACCTGGGGTTAACTCCAGAAGCAGATGTTATTCCATCATCCTTTCGACAGACACTCGTCCCCCCACACGAGGCGGGTGGAGCTTCCCGATGGGAAACAGACCGTGAGCAAAACCAGACGAGCTCCCTGCCCCGGGGAGGCCCGCACTTCAGTGGGGGTGATGGCGAGGAATCGGCTCATTGCCGTGACAGGTCCGGCCCACAGGAAGCTCTCGATGTTGTGAAGGCAGCGAGTACAGGGGATCTGACCTCGTCACACGGCCGGGGACGTTTGCCTGAAATAAAAAGCGGCACGGTGAGACCTAAACAGATAGCAGCCGTTCCGGGGCACGGGGGAGAGGGAGGGCCGGCCAGGCAGAGAGAGCCACTCGCTGACGGTGGACGGTGCCCCAGAGGCAGAGGGTCCCAGAGCCTGGAACCCTGACACACGCAAATGAGCCCCGTGGACAGGTTGTGCCCCTTGACTCACACAGTGTTCCACGTCTATTACGTCCCAGGTCACAAAAACGCTCAGGCGTAAGGAAGAAGAAAAAGATGGCGTTTCAGAGGACGCGAACAGCCAGACGCTGTGAGGCCTCCTGCACTCGAAGGGCTTCGTTTTTATCTGAAGAGGCATGGGGACCGCGGAAGCCGTCAAGGCCTTGCCCTTGACTGTTCGTGCCCCTGGTGTCCAGCTGCCCAGACCTCACGCCACCACGAATTTCCCTGTCCTCATGGCATGTGACTTCCCAATGGCATTAAATACACTCAACTTCTCCTTCTGTAACCTTTTTCTTTGTCGGTTTTCAAACTCCCATCACAGACGGATTCTCCTTGACCTTGGCTTGTCCTTGGCAGCTGCCACATTGGGTCCTCTTCCTGACTGCTGAGGACTGTCCCACAGTGAAGCTTGGCCCTGGGTCCACTTCTCTCTTCCCAGGTGAGTCCCTTTGTGCTGGCGAGTCTTTGATCTTTCTCTCTTGTCAAATCTATTGTTTGGAACCCGGGAATCGCACCTGGTCCTCAACAGGAAGTGGAGGTCTTGACCCCCTTTAAACTGCCCTGACTCCCCCTCTTTCTCCTACCGGTAAATGCACCGACACCTGTCTGGTCGAGCCAGGAAGCTAGGTTTTATTTTGTTTCTCCTTTTCCATCACAACTATGTTCAATTTATTGACACGGGCCCTTCCTTTTGTCTCCACCATGTACCTGTGCTTCATGTTGAATTGTGTGCCTTAGGACCAAGCCGCCTTCACGCTGACACGGCCTTCTGACTGTTCCCCGAGCTTCCGTGTTGCCCCCTCTAACCTTTCCCCCGCAGGGCCATCCATCTCACCCCCTGCGAACACAACCTGGGATCGGGGAGGCCCTTACAACCTCCTGGTCACTTTCCACTTGGCGTGTTGAATGAAAATCCAATCTCTGCACACACTTGTCAGCGCATCTCACGCCACTCGCCACCTCACTCACACTAGACTCGGCCACGCCGGTTTTCCTGTTCCTGGAAACGCCAAGTTCCTTCCCACTCAAGGTTTTTGCCCTTCGTTGTGCCCAGAATTTCTTCCCACTCCATCCCCACCGCCCACTTGACGTGACTTCCTCCAAGGAGAAGCTCAAGCGTTGCTTTTTCAATGACGTTCCCCTGATCGCCCCACTGACGAGGCGCCTCTGTACCCTTTTCCAGCTCAGAACTTGGTTTGCGTTCTCCAGGTGGAGGGGCGCATTTGTGTAGCGTTGTCTACCTGTCCCACTGAACTTCAACCCATCTCTTGCATGGTGAACCGTGAAGTTTAAGGGGTGCTCAGGACCGGGGTTGCCGTACAAGCCACTTGGTGAACAAGTGAATGAATGAATGAGTCCTGCACACAAGACCTCGGTGTGGCCAACACAAAGTGGGAGCTGGCAAGTGTAGGAGGGGGCAGGACGTTAGGGGGGCTTGTCTAGGGGAAAGGCCAGGGTGCTGGCTGTAGAAACGCCTGTTAGACAAACGACGAAATCCCCTTACACCAGCAACGGTAAGATTGGACACTATGCTCACGGGTGAGCAAATACCAGAAGCAAATACCCTCCCACAATGGAGGGAGTGCGCGGCCGCCTCTCGCTCCTGCGACCTGAAAGGACACTCCTGCATCTTCCATTCTGTCTTAAAAAAATCTAGATACTAGGCAAGGAAATCAGGGTGATCGGTAACTCTGCTCGTCTGTCCTTATGTCAGTTGCCAATCCAGACAAACGTAAGCCTCACTGGCCCGTCAGCAGGCTGCCTGGGGAGACTCCGAGCACCCAGACCCTGCCTCTTCCTGTGACCTGGGGCACGCCGGCCCGGCATCCCTGCGGGTCATGCCCGATGGAGACCAACAATGCAGTGCTGATGTAAACAAGGCGTTTGGCCTAGTGGTCAGTGGTTCTGGTGATGACGCAGTCCCTCTGCTGTGGAACTGATCATCCTACCTTGGCATTGCTGGGAACACAAAAACGAAACTCGCGTGCGGTTAATGGTGTGAGCACGCTAGGCTACCATTATAAGCATGCGCAGTAGCGTGAGCATCCTGTTCCTCCTCGTAGCCCTCCCCAGAAGAGGAGTTGGGAAAGCCTGAGACCGCAGTTCAGAAGGATACCTGCACCCCATCTGAGCCGTGGCATTATTTACAGTAGCCAAGACAGGGAGGCAGCCCAAGTGCCCGTCAGCAGAGGAGTCTCGGTCACCTGGCCCCTCCCAGCAGCACCGAGGTCACAGGGCACCTGTGTCTGTGCCCGCCGGCAGGCTTCGCGCCAAATAAACTCCAGTTCCAAGGCCCATGAGGAGCTGGAGTGACCGCACGGTTGTCCACGGTCCACTTTTTTTCTTACACACTGACGCCTGGGTTGGATTCACACCGAGATGCTGCGTGGCTTTGAGCGCTGCAGCTGCCGCTTCTGAGGACGAGGGCGAGAAAACCGGCCGTGGGGGCTGCCGGGGGCAGGTGGGGGGCCGTTCTGAGCGCACACGTGACTTCTGGGAAGCCGGCCCCTCAGAGAGCGGGAGACGCTTGTGAGTCACGGACTTACCGCTGCGAGGAGCAGCCTCTTGTCTTGTAGAAGGTGCCGTGTCTGTTGGTAAGAAAGAGAATGAGAGGTACATGAACGAGTAGGTGGATGAACAGATACATTAGGAAGTGAAGCTCTTTCTGCCATGTGGCGGCATTTTTACACGAAAACAACTTTGTTATTGCAGACAGAGAAGCAGCAAGGTCTATGCACACTTTTCATCAGCGTTCCTTCCTAAAAACCTAACTGCTGCCACAAAGTTCTGAGACCCTGTGGAAAGTTATTTTGTTATCTACACTTAGTAGCACCAGTTTTTAGCAGGTTTATCGACATACAACGGTGGATACAGAACTAGAAGATGAACTACATGAAATGACACATCAGGCATCCAGCGTAATGTCTGGTACGTGGAAAGGACTCAAGAAACCTCAGCTCCTTAGAGAGCCCAGCCTGTGACCCCAACGGTGACCCCAGGACCAGAAGACCTTCTCGGACTTCCCGCTGCCTTGCTCTGTGACCACCTGGCCAGCCCCTTTTCTCCCCTATTGAAAAAAATTCTCCGCCTTTTCTTGCCTACAAAATTATCTCACACATTAACTCCCCCAGTGAGCGACTGCACAGTCCATTATCGTCCCAACTGAAAAAAGGGGAAGATCACTTCTTATGGAACCTCAGTAGCGGCAGAAGGGAAAACGTTAAAATGCTGCTTCCCAGTAAGATTCTAGTCCAGGTTCCAGCATCGTTCAATCTGTCGTGGGCAACCGTCTTTAAGCGTGAGGTTTGAGAATCCACAAGCCCATCTTTCCCAACCTCCTACGCAACAGCCTAAGGACCAAGTGTGAATTCTTGAGCATCACTGAGTGGAGGGACCTGCGTCACTCCTGTACAGGGAGCCTGCGATTTGAATCAATGAACCTGGCTTTCACCTTTGACCAGTGTGTACAGACAGACTATTAGGGGCTTTGGACCTTGGTTACTTTTGGAGGAAGCATTACATTTTGGGGAAGTGGTCCGAGGAAGCTACCCACACACTTCATAGTCTGCACACTGGCCAAACATGGTACTGGGACTTCACCCTCCAAGTCTGAGCACTTGGAAGGCTTACAAGCTAATAAAATCCCATTTCACTGTGATTTCGCATAAACTAGAAAATCAAGGGGACTGCTGTTTAATCCCCAAAACCTCTTCATTAAACAGGAATCAATTCTCTTAGCTTGGAAACACCTGGATGGATAATGAATACACTATATGGTAGGATCAGAAACAAAAAGCTTTCAAGGTCATTAGAATGAGGTCAGTGCCCTAGGAACTGTTCAAATTCTAATGCCCCCGGTTCTACGTGCGATCCTTGTTTCCCAACGAAAGGAGAAAGTGAAATAAAACTGGCTTTTTCCTTTATAAGTTTTACATCAAGGCAAAGAGATTGCCTTGGCAATTGTGAAACTGCTGGCTGGCTTAGGGGGAAAACCATTCAACAAGAACCCTCTGCTTTCCAAACGTTTCCTCTTTGGGAACGAGGCTTTAGGTCAAGTGTGAGAGGGCACAGACCCACACTTCCTCCGCCAAGACCTGGTCGACTGAAAAGGCCTTCAGAACATGGCCTCCAGCCCTGGCTGGTGTGGCTCAGTGGATTGAGCACCAGCCTGCGACCTAAAGGGTCACCGGGTCGATTCCCAGTCAGGGCACAGGCCTGGGTTGTAGGCCAGGTCCCTGGTGGGGGGTGGGGGGTGTGCAACTGATTGATGTATCTCTCACACATTGATGCTTCTCTCCCTCTCCTTCTCCCTCCCTTTCCCTCTCTCTAAAAAATACACAAATAAAATCTTTAAAAAAAAGAAAGAAAATGACCTCTTGAATACTCACTCCTAGCGCCTAGAGCCACATGTCAAAGTTATTGGAAGGAGCAGCTGGCATGTTTTTCTGAAAAGGGGCAGAGAGTAAATATGTCAGGTTTTGCGGGCTATTCAGAGAGCAGACAGCACCGGCAGCTCACTACGCTGCAGTGTGAAACACACGTGTGCACAAATGATTAAAGTGCAGTCCGAAAAGCATTAAAGTCTCAGTGGCCCAGAGGGGCCGCCGAGCTGGGTGGCAGGTGGGTCCCCTGGAGGTTCCTACCAAACCAGCTTGTCGAAGGCAGGGAAGCACTTCTGCTTTGCAGCCCCACAGCGGGGAGGGGGCATTTGGAGAGGTGGACGTCCTCAGATCGGTGTGGCCTTGCACCCCACCGGGGCGGAGTCCAGCCTGTGGCCGGAGGAACAGATGAAATTCACTCTCGGCAGATTGTTCCGTGAGTAGCGTGGGGAGGGCTTGACGGAGTGGAGGGCTGGACCAAAGGCAAAGCCCGGAGGCCAGTGGTGGGACCGGAAGCAGAAGATGCTAAAGTCACAGCCCCTCAGGACAGCTGGGACTCTGGGCAGGAGGGGTGGCATGAACTTGTGGCTGGGGCAGATGTGGGTGGGAGCAGGGCGCTCCCCGTCTCCCCCAGTTCCGGCCGCTCCTGTTCCCTGCCTTACAGCGGCTTCCTTTTTCTTCCCACCCGCCCCTCGTTTGCATTTTCCCTCAGAAAGCAATGAGCATGAAAAAAATGAGCAAGCCACATGGGGACAGACCTGCAGATGCAGAGAACGAGCTGGGGGTTGTCTTGGGAAGGGGGTGGAGGGTGGTAAAAAAGTAGTAAACTTAAAATAATAATGAGAACACACCACTCGGTGGTGTCTCATTTTTTAAACGTCTTCTCCTCCATGTCATGGCCACTGGAGCCGCTCTGGGCTGACGCGCTGTCCTGTTCTCTGCCTCCCTCCCTCCCTCCCTCCCTGCAGGCACGCAGTAGGTGCTTAGCGACAGCGGCAGCGGGGAGTGGCTTTGAGTCGTAGCCCGGAAAGCCAGGCTGCACAGGGCAGGCTCCTCGCGCCCCAGCCCGTTCGTGCACGTGGTCCTCCACCGCAGCCCCTAGGAAGTGGCACCTCGGTCGAGAGGGAGGCAAACAGCGAAGGGAGGAGGGCCCGAGGTCGCGCTTCACAGCTCCTGCGCTGCCTCTGATGTGGGTGGAGACGGGCTGCCGGTTCCCCTCCCCCTCGGGGCTGCAGCTGCAGAGCCTGGGCTCTGGGCCCACGGTGCTCACGGGGCCAGGGCTGAGGCCACCAGTCAGGAGCCTGCCTGCGACCGAGCATGGAGCGCCTGTAACAATAAGAGTGACCCTCCCTGTCACTGTGGAGTGCCTTCCTGACCCACAGCTCGCAGAGGCTGGGAGCCGGTACCCCTCCTTTCTGATGAAGGAAGGCCTTGCACTCTGGGGAGCAAGGTGACACCGGAAGGCGCTCTCAGGAAGTCCGTGGTTCCCCTTCGAACGAGCCCTGCTTGCAGCCCAGCCTCCCGTGCCGCCTTGCTGAGCACCTGAGCGTCCACAGACGTGCGCACACTGCTGTCCAGAAGCTGGTCTTCAGGAGGAAAACAGTGACCGTCTCTGAGGGTTAGAGAGGCAGGTGACACGCGCTTCTTCCTGCCTGTTTGTCTCACTGGGTGTTTCTAAGGAGGGTTGTATCACTTTAAAACCCACAAGTCCGACACAGCAAATGCATGACACACGGACCCTCATGCTGTCCTGTAGGAAATGCGTGAACTCGGTGACCAGAAATGTGGGGTGTGCACAGTCTAACGAGACTGACAAGAACGTTCTCAGGGAGAACGCACGGCCGTAAGCTATGTTTACGCTGTCTTTACACCCTTCTCTTTCCCACTTAGAATCGTACTTGAGTGTGCGGTTTTTATTTTAAAGAATTTGAAATTCTAAATACCTGCCCCCAACACTGTCTTTTCCTCTGTGTCTAGGGAAAGAATTATTCACAGACCAGAGGCAGGCTCACCTGTAAGAAACTCCAAACTTGTTACAGTTTCAATGAAAATCGCTCGCTACTCCTTTAAAGTACCAAGAGCAAGGAAGCCTACACGTTACCTGAGAGCTGTCTTTGACCTTGTCTCACACCTCATGGGACAGCTAATGAGTGATCTGCCCATGTCTAACTTGCATGCAGGCGTACACAGGTGGGAAGCAGAATAAACCCAGAATCCCCCTGTTATGACTCTGTGAGGTTTCCCAAAGTGGTCCCACATCTCCCTCCCTTTCAGCACCCACGGCCAGGCTTGTCCGATGCTCACTGTGGCTGGACTCGGACCCCACCTACAAAGTGGTGTGGTTACGTGAATGAAGACTTACTCACAGAATGAGGGAAGAGCTGAGTCATGAGAGGGCCGTGGTGACGTCACCTGTCTTCTTCGTCCGGGAGCGTGCTGGGTGCCATTCATGGGACCGTACGCAGGGTGGTTCACATGTAGGGTGGTGAAATGACAGTCACTAATGCCTGTCTCTCCAGTTGGTTTCATTCCTCTTTCTGAGCAAGCTGTTCTTGGGAGAGAATTTTTTCTTCGTAGCCATAGCAAATAGCAGAGATCTGGAATCCTGTCTTACGTCTGCTGTGAGTTAGCTCAGTGATTTGCACAAATCCTTTCGCAGACCTGAGTGTCGATTTCCTAACCGTCCAAATGTTTTCCGTGGAAGAAATGAAGGCAAACATTCGTACCTTGGCTTCAAGAGCTCAGAAATGCAGGGGAACTTGGGCTGACGTGGGCGCTTGGGCTCCTGTCTGGCACGGGCCCTACCAGGACCCAGGAAGGGCCGTCCGGTCTTCCGTTTTCGTGAAGTACACAAAAGGGAGCCGTGTCTGGGGTCTTCACGATGAAGAGGAGGCGCCGGCTTGCAGAGCTTCAGTCTCCGGCGGTGAGAGGAAAGTGAGAGCAAGGGCCAAGGAGAGGTGGGAGACGAGGCGGACTCACGGGGGTGCAGCCGCTCCAGGTGAGGCTTCCATGAGAAACAGGGTGTTTTCAACAATAGCTGCTACAATGTCGTAGGAAAAATATTTTTAAAACAATTTCTGCCCAGTAATAGAAAATGCAGTCATCCAAATGACCCGCGTTTTTGACACCCGACTGAAAAGGCTTCTGGGAAACAGTTCCCCAATGCGGCTGCTTTTCTGCCCCATGATTTATTTCACACATTTCAGTACCACCAACCGGACCATAGTAGCACAATCATTAGAATAGTATAATTGTTGAAAATGGCAAATTTTAGGAGATTAAATGATGAAAGCCCAGGTGACTATTCTTGTTGTTTCCAAATGCTAAAAAAAATTTGGCAAAAATGCACCAATCACCACATACGGGCAATTTGTTCATATTATTATAACTAAATTAGCCTATGTGGCAGAAGCTAATGACGGTCCTTCCCCAAACTTTCTGAATTATGACAATAACAGCATCCACTGGGCACAGCCCCCCGTGGGCCGGGGGCGGGGGATGTGGATGGAGCAGCCTGTGGGTAAAAGCTGACTTAGGTGTTTTGTCCTGGGAGCAAACCTCCAGCAGGAGCGGGAACCTCCCTCCGGGCTGTGGGAGTCCTGAGGGATCTCAAGGTGGAGAGTCTTCCCTTGGGTGGGCACGGGTTTCCCTGAGAGCAGAAGAGAGAACAGGAGTCAGATGCAGAGCTCAGAAAGGGCCACTGAGACTTGGGAATGCGTTTGGACGTGGACAGGAACCGCGGTGCAGGGACCTGGGCTGACTTTCTGGGGCCCCGCCCACCCCCCCTTCACGGGCCTTAAGCTCTTCATTCTCAGAGACCTGTGGGGTTGTTGAGGTCGGCTAGAACTTTACCCTCTGTCTTTCCTGCACCGGAAAGACATTTAATAAAAAACGTGTTAAAGAGAAAACCACAGGCCCAACATGGAGTCGCTTGTGCTAAAGCCCCAAACACCAAACCTGTATTTAACACCTAACCTTGTTCTGGTTTCAAGTGCTCCCAGAAACATCACCTTAATCACCCAGCCTGGAGTTTCCTGTTTAGCCCCCATTGAGGTCCTGGGTCCTGCGGAACCTCTCCATTCCCCGTAGGAGGAAGAAGTACTTTGCATGATAAAGCTCCTTATGAAGGAAGAGTCCTAGTCTAAAAATAATCTTTTCTGGAGCTGGACTTGGGAAGAAATGGAGGAAGAGGGTGAAGCAGAGGGGGCAGCCAGACTGTCAGCAGAAGGGGACCAGGGCGGCTTGCACAAGGCAAAGAGAAGTGGCTGGAGAGGAAGTCAGAGAGGCCAAGTCTTGGGGCCTCCTGTGCTGTGCTGGGGAACTTGGCTTTGACCAGTTTTCAGAATGCTAGTAAACGCCACTGTCGGAAGGACTAGATGGGTGAGCAGAGATTTCACGGGCTTCTGTCCCAGTGAAGGACCCGCTCCCAACCCTCTGGTCTTCCGGCCCCAGAAATTAACTTGGGAAATTGACTTTCTGAGAGTCCGTCAAGGAATGGCCAAGAAAGTGGAGTGATACTCTGATCAGAGGAGGCAAGAGCATCGTTAGTTGCAGTTCCAAAACCGTACTAAAGTACATTTTATTGTGGTGTATTAAAAAAATAAAATTTTTTTTAAATTAAAAAAATAGAAATAATCTTGTTCTTTTCCTGGGTCAATAGCTCCCTCGCCCACCCTTCTTCCTATAAACCCCCCCAGTCTGTACACCCCCCCCAGCGGCCGGGTGGGCTGCTGCTGGATCTGTGAGTCACTTAATAAAGCCAAGGAGATCTTCCAGTTTAATCAGCTGAAGTTTGGTCTTTAACAAATGCATCTTAAAAGGCTTTAATAGCCAAGTCTGTTAATAAAAGCAATATTAAAAATAGCACTTCAAAATGACAGCATAAATCCCCACTCTTTTCTATATAAAGGAAAATATGCATTGAACAAAAAAATTTTCTTTTTACAAAACTGGGACTCCTGGGCCATTCCTAAGGTTTTGTGATCCACATTTTATATTCTTAAAACCATTTCCTACCCAATAGACACACTTCTGCAACATCAGTCAAATAAACAGATGGTATTAAAAGAGCCCTTCAACGTTCGCAGAAAGGGCTGTCTTGTATTTTACACGGCACGTGTGTTGGTTTGACCGACACAAGGATTTCAAATATTATATTAAGTGTCCGCGCTTCTACCTGCAGAAGCCTGGCACCTGCCAGTGCCTCTCCCATTAGCACAGAGACTGTATTTGTGTGGTATAACAGGAAATCTTTGGGAGCGTGCTCGATTTGGCAGGGAAGACAATGCTCCTTGCTTACTCTAGCGCTTCCAAATGTAAAAGAAAACATAAACCCCTACACCTAAGAAAACGCCGAAAGCTTGATGAGTGGCGTTAAGGACGCGTTTGGAACGTCGTGCCCGGCAAGCCGGCTGACCGGCTCAGTGGTGGCAGGAGTAGGCACTTACCTAACTCACCGGGAACGCAGTCCTGGAGGCCCAGCTTCGGGTTTCGTGGGCTCGAGACCCTCCAGTTGGCCCAAAAAAGCCGTGCATGAACCTGAACTCGAAATGATTTATGACATGTATTTTCCCAAGTGATTTTCAAATCTTTCCTTTTTCTACACGTAATCCTGAGATCTGAAAAAAAAAATGGGTGGGTACGCAAAAAAGAAAACAACTGAGTGAACTCAGGAGAGTCAGTGTCTTTTTAAATCAGCTTCTACACTTTTCATTTTTGATCTAACTCTCCTGAAATGATAAACGCCTAGGTCACTTTGAAGCACATGAGACGTTTAAACCTAATGCAATAATATGACGGGAAAGAGGTTTAAATGCCACAGCCCTGATGGGACCATTACAACGGTCCCATCTGGGTCACCAACCTGACTCACTCACTTAGGGGCTCCTGTGGCGCCCATGTGCGTGTGCTCGGGCTGACACCTGGGGTTCCTTCGTGACTCATAACTTCAATGTGCTTAAACCAACCTTCCCTCTTGGACAGAGAAGTGCTCTTGAAAGGCTGTGCCTGAGGAGGGAGAAGTTGGAGATAGCTCTCAACTCATTTCATATTCAAGATCCACAACAGAATGATCCTTGAAAGGTCCAGAAAGTTGGAAGCAAAGCCTTCTGACTCTCAGTGTTACTATGAAGCCTCATTAGGTGGATGGGCCATTGAGTTGACAGATTCATATCCCGTAAGTGGCAGACACTGAGGTCCACTAAGTTCTTGACACTGGGTGAGCCAGGGCGTCTAGGGCTCAGCCCCCTGGACGTGAGGGGCGGATCGTTCATTCTTCAGGGCAGGGTCTGTCCTGAGCACCGAGGCCCATGGCAGCATCCCGGTCCCTGCTCAGACAGTGCCACGTGTCTTGTGTGGTGCGGACAGAGAAAATAAAATTTCCTCCCATTGAAACTCCTGGATTGGGCATCAGGACTTTTTAAAATCAGCAAATGACAGCAGAAACAGTGCTATGTCCACCTAGCACCGGTTTAAAACCACTTTGAACTCAGACTCATGATAGCTATTGAGGCTATAGCTATTGCATGTAGTCACCAGAAGAGGGTTGTCACGTGATGGGGGCTGGGGCGGAGCTGCTGAACCCCACCATCTGAATAAACCATGTGGGGAGAACTCATGCAGGAATCGTCATGGGGTCCTGTGGCCTCTGGAAATCTCTGCCTTGGACACACATGAACACAGCCATGGCTGGCTCTTTGGATGAAGACAGATCAGCTTCATCCAAAGTGATTGTCCATAACGCAGGATGTTTCCATTGGTTCCCGTCAGGACTGAGTCCTGCCTGGGTGGGGGTAGGGGAGGGGGTCCCCCGTCCAGGCCCCGTCCCACCGGCTGCCTGTTGTCATCTTGACCTGGGCTCGCCAAGCCCACTCTCTGGGAGAGACGTCGCCCTGGGCAGCTCCTTACAGAAATTTAACGAGTGCAGGCTCCAAGGCTCCAGCGGCTCCCCTGCTGGGGTTCTGACCCGGGGCTGCAGACTCACTGGTGCTTTATAGCTTCATGGCCTGGTTTTAATTTAGTCACCTGGAAGGTTTGTATTCCCCAGACTTGCCCGCTGCCCACCGGCTCCCAGCCCGGGAGCGCCCCTCCCCCAACCCCAGAGGACATTTCTCTGGTAAAGAGCAGAGCCCAGCGGGCGGACTAATGAGCTCCACACTTGCTTGACAGGCAGATTTGGGGTTATTTCCCCTCCAAAAGGGACCACAGTACCCCCTCCTTGGTCACCTCCACCAAAGCATTTCCTATTTATCAACAGGAGTCACTCTGAGTGGTGTTGAATCCGGATTCTGACCATCGAAACTTCAGAGATCACCAAAAAAGAAAAGACTAACTCTTAGAATTAGCTTTTTCCATGGAAATTTTACCTCCTGATGACTGCAGAGAGGAGATTTTGTTCAATTTCACGTGGGTTTTCTCAGTATTGACGTGTTGGTCGGCTGTTTGCTTTGAAGTCTGTCCTGGGCACAGGATGTTCAGAAGGACCCGGGCCTCTACCCGCCAGGGGCCAGGAGCGTGCCTGGCCCCCACCCCCAGAGTGACATCAGAAATGTCTCCAGACGTGGCCAGTTCCCTGCATCTCCATGGGGGTAACACTGACCCTGACTGAGAGGTGCAGATGTCATGGGCTCAGAGACAGTACTGGTCATCAGCTGCCTGCTGGACCGCTGGGTTGTTAGACATTCACTGCCAGGCACAGTCAGAGCCACGAAACCACACAGTTCTTCTTTTTCCCAAAAGGAAAATGCTTATAGACTTTATTTTTAAATGTTTCCAAATATTTTGATACGAAATGGAGAGAAACCTATTCGGTAGGAAGTCGTGGTTTCTCTCTCTTTTTTGGTGAGTAGTTTAAAGTGATAAGATAAGCGATGGGGACTTTTTCACAGTCAACAGGAACGCGCCTGTTCTCTCCGGCAGGTACACACTCACTGCACGTAACCCCCCATTTGTCCTGGTCTGTCCTGGGCGTCCGAGCTGCATGGTGGTCACGGGCAGGCAGGGCCAGGAGATGGGGTGACATCCTGTCAGTCATCGCTTGTGGTTGAATAACAGGGAACCAAGTGACTTCGGATTTTCGCGATGAAATATTGCCAAGGTGACAACTGACAAAGGATACCACCCAGAATTCTCCAGAGTGAAGCTCATGTCTCAATATCACTGGGACACAGGGCACAGTTTAAAAATATTTCAAATCGCATTTTAATTTTATAAAATGGTATAGATGTCAATGCAAAAACTTCCCATTTGATGCAAGTAAAGAAATTTAAAATAGAACTTAACTGTTATACTTCGTGCGTGTCATCCTTGACGCATGAACTTGAAACCAGGGCTGTTTGCAGTTGTCTGTAAAAGAAACTACAGTGGCGAGAACAAGGATTGTTGGGTAGCGGCAAATGGAATCATCACCAAAAAAAAAAAAAAAAAAAAAAAAGGAAAAGAAAGAGAAAGAACCAAAGGAAATAGTGACATGTTCCTTGTGACGAGTTCACGTAGGCACATCACACGTCCAGCAGAGAGGCCGTTGTCCACCAGCGTCCACCCCTCCATCTCTAGGAGGGTAACCACAGCAGAGTCGTCCCGGGGACGTTAACAGATGCTGAGGGAGAGTGCCTGCACAGGTGACCGCAGGTGGACGGGAAAGCACAGAGTCGGATGAAATGTGTATTTCTACAGTGTGGTTGAGTAACTGGGAAAGCATCAGAACATACTTAGCGGAAGTTTTGGAGGTCAGGAATTGAACCAAATGAGGGGCCATAAAAAACTAGACAGTCTTTCACAGGAATTAATATTTGAGTAAGTGTCAGGTGGAAAAGGAGACACCTGGAAAGCGTCCAGATACCCATTCCAGATGGTCCGGCGAGGCCCCGCGCTCTGCCTCTACCTTCTATTCTGCTGCAGCTCAGAGGCTTGAACTTGGCCCAGTGAAGTCTCACTTGGGGTTCACTCTGGTTATCAAACCTCTCTGGCCTGGGGTCCTGGCTTTGGGTCATTAACCCTGGAGTGGTGGGCTCCCAAGACTGGCAGCTGTGTCTCTAACTGTGGCCCGGCCACCCGGCTGTGAACCCAGAGGACCCCCCCACCCCCGCCTGGCTTAACGATGTGGTTTTGCATTCTACATGGGCCCCCATCCATCGTTCCAGCATCCCTTGCTGGGCCCAGTCAATGGGAGTGACGTGTGACTTCTGGGTGGCATATCTGAGCAGCCAGTGTAGGATTCACAGGGTGGCCTTTTCCTGCCACGTGATCCTGGAGGCAGATCCAGAGCTGATTTCTGCGTGGCTACGACCACAGGGGTGAGAGAGCGCCCCCCCCCCCATGGCCCACGGATCAGGAGCCAGACGCAGAACTGCCTGCCACGAAGTCTCTGAGAAGTGGAGGCTTATGCTGTGTATTCTACGCCTTCCAGACTAAATCCGCATTCACGGAAGTTCGTCTCTGATGAAAGAGCTCAGAAATCCAGGTCTGTCCCGGCCACCTCGGGAGTGAGCAGCAGAGAAGCTTTCCGTGAACACAAGGCGTCCAGCAACGGAGGGTGACTGCCAAGGTCCAGCCGTAGGGGCCGTGTCGGGACCTCGTTCTGGGGTTGTTTGAACGGGAGGACGCAATAAAGCCCCTCCAGAGAGAGAAACAACAGGGGGTGTGTGTGGGGGGCACAGAGAAGAACTGTCTTTTGCTTTAAAATCAAGTGGAGTGTGGATAACTTTTTATCTTTCCCTGTAATACCTTATGCAGCACTGCTATTTCTTTAACATCTAATTTCATCATTTCTTCTATCCATTAAACCTATTTCCTCTCGTCGCCACTTAGAAGTCGTGACCCGCGGCTCCAAACACGAGGATGGTCGCTTGGTCTTTTCTTTAGAAAACGGCTTTGCCATTTTTCTCTTGGTAAAGGAGACTGTATTCAACCCCCTCTTTCTCTCTCTGATTAAGTGGCCCACGTTTTAAAAATAAGTAATGCATTCATAAAGTAACTGAGTTTTTAAAAAATGATCATTTTGCTTTGCCTTTGGGGGGTAAAGACTAACCAACAAATTTGCAAATATTGGCTGGAGGAAGGGATGGACTTAGGGCTCCCTCACAGAGCTCTAAGCCTCGGGGAGCTGACGACGGAGACTCACCGGGTGTGGACCGAGGGCAGTGACCTGCGCGGGGCCTCCCCGTGGGGCAGCGTGGCGTTCTCCACATCCAGTTACACGCTTCCTTTAACGTAGGAGAGAGAGAGATGAACAATTTTAAGACAGATAAAAACTACTTTTAGCAGTTTGATGAGGCCATATTTTACAAGCAAACTAAGGATAATTAAGAAAATATTTTAGGAGCCTAAATAGATTCCTGGATGCCGTCGTTCTGTGGAAGAGGTATGTGGTAGAAACCGTATCGAAATCCAAAACAACACATATACTGATTTTTAAATCTGGCTGAAGTCCCTAAGTTTTCTCAATTCCATACTCGTTGGTGCGTTGCTAACTTATCAAGAGACACCCTGGATGCTGAGGAAAGGGGGAGACATGGGCTCCGGAGTTGACAGCGGTCCCCTGGGCAAAGTGCCCCGGGGCCTGAACGCCCTCAGGCCCTGCGGGCCACCTGGTGGGTCACGAGGGCTTCCCAGGACTGGGGACCTGTGTTCTCCACTTGCAACATGAGTCACTGATAAATTTTCACCAGTGTCCTGGTGACCAAAACCCACCCAGAGAAAGATGAAAAGAAAAAAAAAGGAGGGAAAAGAAAGTAAAGGCCCAAATAAACAACGAACATAACTAACCTGTTTTTTGTGCTCTTTCCGAGACCGTAACCCCCCTCCCAGGATCACCCTCGCTCTTTCCCTCCGCCCAGTCCCGTTCGATTTGAAGGGACGAAATGGGGACACCAATGTCAATTGTAATCGATGGCCTAGTTTGGGTACCCTCTCCACCTACAACACTCATCTTTGAAGGCTCGGCTTATTTGTTGCTTCTTCTGTGAAAACATCCGTTTATAACCTAGAATATGTTATGCAACGCTCTCTCGTTGGTTATCATCACGATGTTTCAAACACCGTCTTCTCGGCTGGAATGTGAGCTCTACGCACGAGGCGAGATACCTTACTTGTTTCCAAATGTCCAGGGCTTAGAACGGGGCAGATGGACACCGAAAAATGTCTGACCCAGTCAGGGAGGGAAGGAAGGCGGGAAGAAAGAAGGAAGGAAGGGGAGAGAAAAGGGTTAATTAAATTAATGAGTAAATGAACACATGACATTGAGAGGTGATAGCGGCTGTGTCACAAGTCATTATCGGTTACAGAAAGAGTCTAACACGTTTCTCATTTCATGTCCCCTGTTAGGCAGGCAGTCGACCCTGCCCCGAGCCCTGCACCGAGTGAAGAAAGCCCAGGAGTGTGGAATCCGAGCCAAAAGTAGTAGCAGCCATAAAAAGTCTGCTCTAAATCAAAGCTGGGCCGATTGTTAAAACAGAGCTGTCAATGCAAAGAGCCTGAGCGAAAAGTCGGAGCCCTGGAGTGGAAACACGGAACCGGGATGACAGAGGAGAAGCGGAACGAGAGAAGTCCCGGAGGCAGAGAGAGTCCTTGCTCGCAGTTCCGGGAGCGCCAGTAATGGCCTTGGCTTTCCATGCTGCCTGCGAGCCGGATTCCAGAATCGGCCGCCTGAATTCAAGGGTGGGCCCTGGGGCTTACCGGACCCCTTGCTTCTAGAACAACACTTCCTTGGGTGTAACCCAGGAAAGGTGCTAGTGCCTACCTCACAGGATCGAGGTGAGAATGAAGAAAAACGTGTCTGCAAGGAATTCGGCACAGTTCCTAACACATCGCTAGTGTTATTGTGAGGCCCGAACTCAGTCTGGGCCAATGAGATAAAGGAAGAAACTTTAAAAAGGGGGGAGGCCCTGAGCAGGGTGACAGAATTCATCAGTTTGCTCAGGCCTGTCCTGGTTTACGCAGGTTGTATCTTATTTGGTTCGTATGCTCTTCCACTGTTGTAGACACTTTAAAAGAATAAAATGTCCTTAGGGTGTCAGGAGACGGGATTGCCGTGAAATATGAAATGAAAGCGACAAACGATAAAGAGGAAAGATGTTACACTGAACTTTGTCGAGATTTAAAAATTCTGAACGAAAGCCAAATATCCCCCCCAATGGAAACTCGCACCAGGGATCAAGAAAGTGCAGATAAAACGTAAGGACAACCTTGCTGCTATGTTAGCACAGGGTGGTTTGCAGGGAAAACCTCAGAGACCGATTGGAAGGGCAGAGGACTTAAACCAGGCAGCGTGCTCTCGGGTTACCGTGAAAAATAGAAATCAGCAGCAACAACAACAACAGACTAGAAAATACCCCAATTTCTAGGAGTTAGGCAATGTATTTCTCAATATAGAGGGTGGGGCAAAAGGAGGTTTACAGTTGTTCATTTGGAAAATAATACAGTAATTAATAAGTCATAATGCAAAAATAAAGTCTGTATTTCCCACACTTACAACCATAAATTTACTTTTGCCCCACCCTGTATATATTCAAATAATTCAGTAACATATAGATGATATCAATGAGAATTAGAATATGGTATATTGAGACACTGGGAAGTATCTACAGCTATCCTTGAAGGAAAATTTGTGACATTCATGGATATGCTAGGAAAGAAGAAAGCCTAAAAACCATGAATAATTTTCATCGATCTAAGAATCCACTGTAAGAGACTTGAAAAAGAAGAGCGAGTCACACCCAAAGTTTAAAAGGGGAACTAATAAATATAAAAGCAGAAAGAAATGAATTGAGAATGTACTGGAGAACCAATGAACAAACCCAAATGTGGTTTCTTTAAAAGAGACTTAGGAGAGTGATAAGCCTGTGTTGAGTGAAAAATTTTTCAAAAGGTGAAAATACCTGAAATCTGGAATGAGAAAGACACATCGCTGCAGATTTTCATTCTAGGCATTTACACTCTGAGACAAAGTGATTCGCCATATTAGTGCAATGAATGACAGGTATGTGTCATTATTTCAACAAGTACCGATAAGCATTTAATGAAAGTCAACAGCTGTTCAGTACCGCTCTTCTTAAACTAGGAGTAAAAAGAAATTTCATTAATCTGATTTTAAAACCACAGAGCAAGCACTATATTTCATGGGGAGACCTTAAATCTTCCCTCCTTAGACCCCCAAAGAGACAACGATGCTGTATTATTTTCCCAAATTAGAGTAGAAAAATCAGAATCTCGTTTAGGTTTTTAAAAAAGGCAAGAATCTTAACCTGCTCGCTCTCTGGGGCTGGAGGAGGCAGAGAGAGAGAGAGAGGAGATGATTAGATCTGGCTCGCCCTTTTTTATTTTTGAAAAAAAACTATAAAAAGACCTTTAAAAGACAGAAGCATAGAAGCCAGTGCAGGGGCTGGGGCTGCTGGTGGGAGCCCAGGGTGGACCGGGAGAAAAGCAGGCCACGCCGTGACCTGCGGGGACGCAGGGAGCGGAAGCATTTAGGGACAGAGGAGTCGGTTTGGGACATGCCCTTGCGCTTTGTGTTTTGCTTTCATTTCAATTTTTATTATGGTGTAAAAAGTGCTCCTAAATCCCAGTACAAATTAGGTCATTTGCTTTTCACTGAATCGGAAAGAGCCATTCATTGTCTCTTTTGATGGGGGTGGAACATGATCGAACTAAGGAAACAAAATGGCTTAAGGTGACTCCAAGCTCTTTCACGGCCTCCCCAGATTAAAACCGGCTGCTTCTGCACCTCGGCACCCTAACAGAGAGTTGGCCGCACTCCCAATGTCATAGAAATATTAAATCCTTAGGAAAATAAGTCACAATAAGCTAAGGGACTGGAAAAAGCCTAATACTCAGTGAAAATGCAGAAATCGGTCCTTTCTGCAATCATACACCACAGTAACTTTTAACAAACCTGTTCGCTCCACCTGAATTTAATGTTTGGATTTTAAGAAAGCGAGTTGAATGCTACTGTTCACTGTAGATCTTACAAGTTGACACAGTGGGCAATTTCCCCTTGAGTCACTGTGGAAAAACAATCACACACAGGAAACCCCACTGCAAAATTCCACGTGGACCTGGTGTCTGTCTGTGCTCACTCCCTTTTCCTGTTCAACGGGTCGGTCGCTTAAAAATAACGTCAGGACTGTTGTACGGTCCAAACAGCCAGTGCATTTCGTTTTCCATCTGCTGACGCTGGTATCCCATCGACACAGTCAGACATCTTTAGTGAAATCGAAGGCTCCTGTCTGCCACAGGTGTGAGCAGTACAGACCATGCAATTCTGGATCTGATCACAGACAGGCCTTTAAAAGCAAACTTCGTAAAAAGTAAAATAAATCACTGAAGCCACCCAATGGAGCCCAAGTCAAAACAGCACATCAAGAACTGAACCCCGCCCGCCCTCCCGTCCTCACCCATCGAGACTGGAAACTGCTGGTTATTAAAGTGTTTTTCCTGTGGGAAGCCAACCAAGACACGCCGAAATCATGCAGGTCAGCCTGCGCCCCCTGTTCATTCCCCAGACTTTCCAGAGCCAAATTTTGTGCGGCCAATCAATACAGACCCACACAGCTGTTTGTAAATGTCCTGCCCCAGGGACTGTCCCCTGGCCGAGGAGCAGGGTAGCACCAAGGAAGCTGACAGTGGAGAAAGGGGGGACGTGTTTTTGTCTCCCCGGCATCTGTGTATCTCTGTATGTCGCTATACAACCAGTATTTTTAAAGAAAGCTGTGCATCCAGATTTCCCAAGTCAGAACTCTTGGAAAATGGCTTTAGTCTAGAGGGGACAATTTCTACACAGAACTCTCCCTTCAAACCTTCAGTCTCCCTATGTCCATCCCACCCGTAAACAACCAGAGACCCAGGTAGTGACTGATGAAATGTTAAACGCTTTGTGCACTGGTTTTCATGTTTATTATGTTCTGTAATTTTGGGATTTCGCGCAGCCTCGTAAATTAGCGGCAGGCGTGGTGTCTCCAGAAGAAGGGGACCCGGTTTGGGGGCATCAACATCCGAGGAAACAAAAGATGATTCAAATGAAGATAAGCATCCGAAGAAGTCAAGTACGTGCTTCCCGAACTCAGCCTTTGGAGCTCGCGACCTTGCCGCGTGTCTGTGGTTTACGTCCTCACCACGACACAGTATTCTTGCTATTGCACAGCAATTTTCCGGGAAATCAATCAAAACAGGTTGTTGAGGCTTTCTGGTGATAGATGAAAAAAATTACCATAAAGTCCATTATGCCAAGCAGCAGGAAGCGGAGCACTCGTGTATGGCTATTGCGTTTGGGGATAATCTCATAAAGCAGAGAGCCAGCGTCTTGAGAATTCTATCCCTCATAAATAACCTTCCATTAATAACAGAAAATTTCCTGTCTTTTTCTGCTCTGCAGAATGAAATTCCCCGGGAATGCAATCAAAATACGCACCGGTGTTTCCCATGTTGCCATTGTTGCCCTCGGACTGTGGCACAGGTCTCTGAGGGGCTGAGCAGGCGGGTCCAGGAGTTCAGATGACATGAAGCTTTCTCTTCCCTTAGTTGCCTCTGTTCGTTTGGACGCACATGGCAGTGGGTGTGTGGTGAGGTGTCTGGGAGCGTTGGGGAGAGTTTCCTTCAATGTTGCTGGTAAAATGTCTTCAAACCTGCGCGGACCCCAGACCTCGGAGGGGAACCTCAGAGCTGGCCCCCTGCTCATGAACTTGACCGGAAACAGCCATTGGTGCCTCTTGTCCCACCTACGGACGAACGAGGGGCAACTCCATTGAGCCCTGGCTTTGGCGGACAGAGCGGACCAGCCTGTTGCTTCTGTGATTGGGTTTGTACGGCCCCTCCGAGACGCTGGGGGTGCAGGAAGGCTGTGGGCATCTCAAGGTGAGCAGCAGGCATTTTCTGGGGTGGCGGCTTTACTTGAGGGAAGGGGAGACGGAGAGCTAGATAATTTATAGAAAATTGGTAAGTTGTTGAGAAAGAGAGTATCGAAGCAGACAGGTAAGGGAGCAAAGCGCTCAGTCTGCACAGATTTCGAGATAGTTTCACGATGAATTTTGGAGACTTGATAGAAATGCCATGCTTCCATAGGACATGTTCGGCCACAGTGTCCCAGGAAATCTGGGGATGACAGCACCTTCCACTCTGAGAGCTGTGTTGGTGGCCAGTGTGGGAAACACACAGGTCAGGGGTCACAGTGAGCCTCAGTTTCCCCCGCCCCAGGGTGCTGAGAGCATACATAAAATAGCTGAAACACTGTCCCCAGTCACATCACAGAGATGTGCTAGAAGAATCAAATATGACACTGTAGGTGAAAGACCTTGGTGAGCTGGAGAAGAGGGGAAAGTAGAGTGTTTTCATTTGTGTATTCTTTCATTTAGAAGGTATTTATTGAGCATTTACTATGTGAGAAACCCTACAGGCTAAAAGGAAAGAGAGATGAATGTCTCTATCACTCCTGCATGGGGCATGGAGACCAACGGCAGATGTTTTTGCTGCGTTTAGTGAGCCCTGACGGAAGAGCTGATGGTCAAGGGCAGCCACAGAAGACAGCTCAGGGAACAGAATTCTGGGCAGAGGGTCTCCGAGAGGCCCAGGGTCGGGAGCACCCCCAACTTGTCCCTGGGCTGCTCTGTTGGAGGAGTTGGCTCTGAGGCTGACTGTCCTCCAGCTTCCCCTGGGACTGGAAGGCCGTTCCATTGTTTAAGGTTTGAGGCTTTCCCAGGCAATTGCTAAAAGGGATCTGAATGCATAAGCAAAGAGGTGGCTTTATGGAAGGCTCAGGGCATCTGAAGAAGATGCAGGGGACTCGCTGGGAGACAGCACATGATAAATCACGTCTCTGGTAGGAGGCGGGTGATGCTAAGGATGGAGACCGGCCTGAGGGAGGTACCAGAGCACCCGGGACGGGAAGGATGAGGGCTGTCCTGGGGAAACAGGTGCCATGTCAGGTGGGAAGCTCACCACTCAGGCCTGGCAAACTGCTCGGAAGGGCTTGCAACAGGGTGCTGAGCGCGGTCACAGCAGGCGACAGAACCCTAGGCCAGTTTTATTTTATTCTCCAGTTTTTCCTCACGGACCCCGCATTGCTTTTCTGATGGAGAGAAAATTAAAAACAGGTGGGGCAGCCCAGAAATATGGGGGTGAAACCGAACAGGTAATTAACACCCATCACCCCCAGGCCCAAGAAAGAGAGTGGCAGTGAGCACCACGTAAGAGTCACAGGCCGGTCCCCTGAGGACCGCCGGGCGCCCGCCCTCCCCCCTCGCACCCGGAAACACGCCCCAGAACTCACACACACAGTGTGGAGCTCACACGCGCACACTCACTCCGGCTCTTCCTTTTTCTGAACAAGACAGGAAGCCTCAGCCCAGCCAGCGCAGGAGACCACGCCCAGGGCGTCTCTGCACCTTTCCGCAGCGCTGTGGGTGGTTCCGCCTGTGCCCTTTGCTGTCACAGGGGAGGCTCTGGCACAGGTCACCGCGTTGGGAAGACTAACTTTTCAGCCAAGAAACTTCCCTGTTGAGTAACCCGAGTCCGCTCTCCCTCCTCCTTGGCTCCGCTCCCATTCCCACTTGCAATAAAACACAGTGACAGAGAGAAATGGAGTCAGTCCCTGCCCTGGAGCTGGGTTAGAGGACAGACTCGTGGTCCTCTAACCAACAGCATCCCTGGAAGTCTCTGCGGAAGTTATCCAGGCTACTACCAGGCCGGGGGGCCGGTGGGCCGGCGGATGGTGTCCCCCAAAGCCCGTCCTCCTGCAAACACAGACTGTTGCTCACACGGCTGGTTCAATGTCCACCTCAACACAGCTCACGAGACTGGCGAAAACAAAATCTTGAGTTCAGTTCCAAGAAGTGGTGAGAGGCACCCCCCAGGTGCCCACCAGGTACCTGTCACTCGCTCATTTGTATGGACTGCGTTTCAGCCCCTTTCCCTTGTCGAACCCTGGCTCTGCCTGAGCCCCGCCCCTCTGTGGCCGGTGAGTCCGAGTTGTTCCCTTCAGGCCTTGGGTCCCAAGGTCAGCATCAGGTCGGGTGGGACAGATCTCGTGCTGGAGAGAAGGGGGTCGCCTCTCAGAGGGTTTTCTGCTCAGATGTCTTCTCACACAGCTTTGGATTTGCTCCGCTAAACTCTTCCGCTTTAATTCGAGGGTGACTTGCGTGGTCCATTCTGGAGAATGCAGTGCACACAGCTGGAAACATACCTGAGTCCTCAGAGGGGACTGAGACTGTGTACGGGGGTCTGATGAGCGGAGGGGGTGTCGGCGTGAACCCGGTGCCAGTCCTGACCCGAGTCGGGCAGCGCTGTGTTCAAACTCCTGGAGGGCCAGTGTGTACCTGGGTCAGATTTAGGAGATGACTTATTTGAACCCTAATTTCCTTCATGAAGAAGGGGTTATAGTCACCAAGGACAGCTGTTTTAGCGTCGTCACAGGCTCATGGCCCCCAGCCGGAGGCTGGCAGTGAGGGCGGTGCTTCAGTCCCTCCCTCTGAGCACGGTTTCATCTGTCAGGTGTCAGCTGGAATGTTAGTGCCCCTTCAGCCCAAGTTAGAAGGGACAACCTCAAGGCTGAGAATATTTGGGAGACAGACACTGTCCTAAGAGTTCAGATGACAGAGGTCAAGGGTGCCCCAGCATCTTGGTCACCCCAGATTCTCTTGGGAAAAAGCGGAGGCCAGTTGAGGGCAGATTCAAATACTCAATGTGTCCTGGAATCTACCGGACCTTCTTGGATGAAAAAGGACATTCTCAGGTCCTTTGTAGGTCCAGCCTAGAACTGAACTTCAGGGGGAGAGTTTTAGAAATAAGAAGAAAGAAAGAGAGAGAGAAGAGAGAGAGAGAGAGAGAGAAGAGAGAGGGGGATGGAGAGCGAGAGAGAACTAGTTGAATTACTTGAGAGTAAAAACTCCTGGTGTTTATGTTCCTTACAACACCCTATAATCCAATGAAACCATTAAACTCTAGAGACACGAATCTCTCCAACAAAGTTAATTAATTCACAGCCTAATTTAGACTTTAATACTCTTTGTCACACTTAAAACTTTCTAATTGAGCTGAGACATCCGCCCCTGCCTTTGATCCTATTTTTTTTAATGGAACGTTCTCTCCAATCATTTCTTTCTCCAACTTCCCTTTTTCCCAAAATTAAGGACTAACACCTCCACAGAGAAGACGCTCGCAGAGATGGCCCTTCGGGCTGACTCATGTGAAGGCGAGACCCAGGAGGATGCGGAAAACCGAACATAAGGTGTCTCTCCTGGAGATATGCTCCTTTTCTGCCTTGCTGCTCCAGGCCACGCCTGGCATCTCCTAGAACCTGTCTTTGAATCTGGGTGTGCTGAGTTCTCTACATGGGGTGCTGAGGGCTTTCAACGGCTGCAGTTGGTCTCCTTGTCCCCACTGAGGTGACAGTTAAGAGAGGAGAAGCACCAAAAAGGTACAGAGAAAGCAGGTCCGCTCTGGCCACCAACCCAGAAGTTGCGAAGGACCCAGGGTTGTGACAGTGAAACCATCCGAGAGTGGACCACCATCAGGAAGCGTCAGGACATAGTCAGCCTTCCTTCGTACCTCTGGGTTCTAAGGAGCAACGGCAGCCTGAAGGAAGAGCTGCGAGGAAGTTTCCAGAGTGTTCTGCGGCCGAATCTAATGCTGGTCATTTCAGGAAGAAGCACCAGGAAGCTCTTTGGGTTCAGGTTGGATGCAGGTGAGAGTCCATGGGAAGCTCAGGGCCGACAGAAGAATTCTGAAGCAAGGACCCGAATCCCCGTTAGCCGTGAGACCACGCCGCTCTCAGGGGTCCTTCAGACTTCAGGCTGGGGGACAGCTCCCCTACACTCCCAGCCTTCCACCTTAGATAGGTGTTGACTCGTCTGTAACAGCAGCCCCAGCCATTGGCTTCCTGGGATGGAAGACAGAGCACTGTGGACAGGCAGGTGATTTACCTGAAGCCTCCAGAACTGTCAATAATCACAGTGACCTATTCACTGCTGTGTCCTTAGCCCCTAAACAGAGCCCACCATTTAATGATAGATACTTGTTGAATGAACAAAGTGCTTCCTTAGAGACACGTCACTACTTTTTACATGTCACTGCGTTTAATTTGCAAGCTTACCGCCACCCCGGAGGGCACTAGGCGTTACTCTCCCAATTTTAAACGTGAGATGGAAAACACCGGGAAGGCTCGGCCGCCTGCCTGGGCTAGAAATGGAGCCGACTGACCCTGACACTCTGACAGCCACACCGGGGTCAGGGATGGTGGGGACCGGCACTCGGGGAGGTCTGGGAGACCAGCAGGTGAGTGGGAAGCCACGCAGAGGGCCGATGGCATCTTACACGGGTGAGCGCAGGGTGCCGTGGGCGCGCGAAAGAAGGGCGGCCATAGCCCCCTTCTTCCAGAAACGTCTGGCAAGGGACAGGAACCCAGACAGCACAAGGCTGAAGGCGGTCTGCTGGAGGCTCAGGCGGAGGCTCGGCGGGGACCGTCACCTGCTGCTGTCTGCCTTCAGGTGCCACTGCCCGCATCCCATCCACCGTGGCCAGTTGTGGCCAATACCCACTCACCCCCTTTCCAGCTTAAACACCCTGGGGGTGCTTCTTTAAGGAGTAAAAACCACATTAAAATGCTCTGTCCCCAGACACTTCGCTTTCTGATCTTTCACGTTGGATTGTGCCGACAAATGGGAGGATCAGTCCCCTAACAAAACAATGGGGCGGCGGCGCGTGTCACGTAAAGGAGGAATTCCCCCACGGTCCCACCGCTGCAAATCTACCCAGGGTCATGCGGCCAGATGTCGGCTTGTGCAAGCAACTCTTGAACGACACATCGCACCCTGATGTCCCTTAGACTACACCAAGTGCATTCTTCTCTTCCCCCTTCCTCCTCTTCATCACAGCTCCTGGATTTTCCCTGCCATTAAAACTGTGTACTTGGTCTGGGTTTTATCTCCACGCCTAAACAGTTTAAACATAACGTGGCAGAAGAGACTAGCAGAAGCCAACACACACACACACTGTAGATTCTCATTAAACAAATCACTAACGCCAATGGTATTTCTCATGTTTGGTCAACACTTGTCTGTTTACACCAAAACGCCTCCCTGCCTCCGTGTGACTTGTCACAAGGCTGCTTTAGGGGAGTTTGTGTTTTTAAAGGACTGTGAACCTCTTCTGAAAAATAACTGAATTCTTGTGATTCTGACTACTAGCAAAATACTTTACTTGCTTTTGTAGCTATGACCATTGGCTGGAAATTCAGAAATACATCGCTGTTGAACTCTTGTCTTAGGGTGTATCTCTGATTTGCAACTGCACTTCACCGGAACTCTCCAACTAAGGAGGGAGGGAGGGAGGGAGGGAGGGGAAACCATGATCAAAGCGCTCTGTAATGGTCAGCACTTTTGTAGGTAACTTGGGTGCTGCTCACATAACAACATGGATTGGGTACAGCTGACAGATGAGGGTGAAGACAGACACAGAGGTAGACAGGACAGATGGACAGATGATCATAGCTAAATTTTCTAGATCCCAGATGTTTTTCTAAGTGCTTTTCACGCATCATTTCATCTTCACAACTTGGTTTACTTCAAAGTCGGGGAGTCAGAGACACAAAGAACTCAGCTAACCTCCCCGAGCATGCGCAGCAGATAAATGGCAGAATCAGGCTCGAGAGCAGCTACGCAAGCAAATGTATGAGGAGCCACAGGAACAGGTAGCTTTGAGCTTCCTCACAGTCACCTTCAAAAAAGGAAAGGGAAGGATTACATGAATTCCTACACATGTTATTTGGCCCACTACATCCAAAACATGATTTCAACATGCAATCCATGGACAATAATCCACGTGACAGTTTTACGTTTTTTAGGTGTACCAGGTTTCCGACATCTGCAGCCCCTCCCACTCTGAACTAGGCAGCCACAGGTCGCGACCTCAGCAGGCGGCCGTGGCAAGTGGCGACCACTGGGCACAAGGCCGCGCTCCGGTCTGGGCATTTTTCTTTTGTGCCTGACCTTGCTCAGGGGCAGGCTTGAAACTGGTGCAGCTTACAGACGGGCTCAGTGGATTTAACTTACATACGTGTCCTCCGTTCTGGATAATGATGCAGGTGTGTCGTCTGGGCTGACGTCAGAAGGGCCTGGGAGCCCCCGCTGAGAAGCCCGGCCCGCGTCAGAGCACCCCGCGTGCTGCCGACAAGCCCAGGCCTCTGGCCGCTCACCTCTCCCCGGCCCGCGCCTCCTTCCTCTGGGCCCCTCTGCAACAGCGGCCCCCGCACACCGTTCCCGACCGTTTCCTCCACTTGGGGGTTTAGCCCCCGCTGCCCTAGGCTGTCTTCCAACCAACCCCCCCCCCAGCACAGGGACCTTCTGAGCTTTGGGTGGTCCCCGCAGGCTCCCCCAGTATCTCCAGTCCCCCTCGTGCACTAACGCTCTACTACGCCCACCGTGGGCAGCTGCCTCTGATCGAGGGAAGGTGGCACCTTTGGAGCCGACGTCACAGAACCGAGCATGTCCCAGAGCCCAGAAAGGCGGCCTGGGGACAGGACTGTCCCCGGGCAGAGGCTGCACGAGGCAAAGGTTCCTCCAGGTCTGGGTCTGGGCACCGTCTGGGTGTCTCACCTCCCTCTCACTGACGCCTCCCAGGTCACCTGTGGGTAACTCAGTGGCTGTCCCTTCTTTCCCTCTCCCATGTACCCACAAAGGAGGAACCAGGTCAAAGGAGCATTTGGGGCCGTCTTAGAAGAGTTTAGAAATCTCATAAAAGAGCAGCCTGGGGGAAGGGTGGAAGAAAAGAGGAACAGCAAGCTCCCCCTCGCTTCCCAGACTAGAGTGTCTAGCGAAAGAAGTTATGGGCATAGGGTGTGCAAAGCAGTCTCAGTTCTCTATAAGATGAGCTGGGAAACACCCTCTTCTCCCCAGTCTGGTGATGTCCTAAGCCTCCCAGGGGCGAGTTTGACCCCAACCTCATCAGGGTGGCTCCAGCACTTGGGTACCTCAATCCCCTTGACCTGAAGCGGTCTCCACAGAGGCCCCTCATACCCGTGTTCTGCCTCGGGCTCCCTCCCTGCTCTCCTTGGCAGGGTGCTAGTGGGCAGGAGAGGAGCGCCCCGTGGCTGCCGAGGGTGGCGGTGGGGACTGCAGAAAAGTTCAGACGGGCTGGCCTTCTCCAACCATCCTCTGCCTCCCACAAAAATCCGACTTGCCTGCAGGGTACTCAGCCTTTCCTTTGCAAATAGTAAGGATCTTTTCCTAAATCTCTTAACAGGAGGCTGCAGTATGACTCAGAAGGAGTATCAAGAGTTAGAGGCAGCGTTTAGTCCCGGTCCCAACCTGACCTTTCGGGAGCCACTCGGCCTGCATTCTCCGCACCTCAGTTTCTTCGTCTCTGAAATGGGCAAACCTGTGCTCGTCCTGCCCCGTTCATGGGGTGACAGTGGGGGTCAAATGGGGTGATGCTCACGAATGTGCTGGCCCAGTGTCAAGTGCGATGAGCATGAGAGCATGATGTCCAAGTGCTACACGCTACCCCTGGCATCCCGCGACACGTGGCCACCACTGCCGCCCAGACTACGCAGGTGCCAGGGGCACCGAGACGCCTGCAGGGCTCAGGTTGGCTGCTCTGCAGCGGGCGAAGCTCCGGGTGGGGGTGCCGATTCCCCAGAACCCGTCTCCCCGAGCCTGAGCTGAAACCTGCCAAATAAAAAGTGCATTTCTACGCCATTTATTCTCCCTCGATGGGAAGAGTTCATGGGGCTGCCTCCAGAAACATCTGCTCCTACACTGAC